CATAGATAATGGTTTTTAGCAACCTGGCAGCATTTTGATGTATGAAGTAAGACTCTCTTTAGATTTATATCTGCAGCTAAAACAGATTTAATATAAATTTTAAGACAAACAAAAAAGCTAAATCTTATTGCAAATCAATAATAAGTCCCTCCCTCAATCCTATTTTGCACAGCTACAGCAGGCTTACTTGTCCAGGAAGAGGTGCAATGCAGCTATTTCTGGCTACATATACATTAAATGAAACATGAAAAAAAAACTTTTATTTAGAGACCCGTTCCTGTATTTTTTTTTCTTATGCCTTTAATGATTTTTTTAATCATTTCTCAATATCTAAATGCTCATATGCTTGTTCCAGATAAATATGAAATGTTCTACAGTGTAAACCCAAGGTCCTTCAGTGTTAGCCTTTTCACGCCATGCTTCAGCCAGCCCTTTTCATCTCAGTCCAAGTGGTATCTCTCATTCACCTGAATGGGCAGAAAGGACATTCTGCCTTAAATTTAGATCTATCTTGGAAATGAGTCATCAGTCACAAGGTAATTATACCACTCAGTTGACATTCTTCAAAGTTAATAGAGAAGATGGTCGGTGTGCAAACAGCTGTAAGAGCCCTAAAAGAAGAATAAAGAAGCATAAAAGTGTCAGATAAGGTTCAGAACACAGAGTCCATTGAAAACACCAAAAACTGCACCTTTATAAAAAATTTTATCAGAGCAAATGTTTTTTTTTCTTTTATCCTTCACCTTGCAGTCTGTCGAGTGGAGGTAAGAGCCTCCATATCTTAAAGCCGAGAAGCGACAGCTAGACTTCTACAAAATATCAAATGCCCTGAACTCAACAGCAAAGAATGATATGAAAGTAATACCCACAACGCCTTTAGAAACTTTTCACAAGCCCTTGAACTTTTTGAATTTTTTCTCACACTGCAACCACAAACCTCTATGTATTTTGTGGGATTTTGAGTGATATTTCAACCACAACAATGAAAAAACAATAATAAAGCCAATGAACAAGATGAAGCCGGTGGTGGCAGTATGCCACTGTGGGTTTTTTCTTTTTATCACCAGAGATTAGGAAGCAGGACATGCGTGATTTAGTGATGTATGATGCTTAATAGGGACTGTGATGTGACGGAGATTGTGATATAGCAAAAGCAATGTCACAAATGTTTTCCTGTGTACAAAGGATTTGGAAATGTATAATACAAAATATCAGTAAATACAAGTTATCAGCCAATATTGGTATTGGGCATAGAAGATTTTCATATCTGTGCATCCTTTAAGCCCAATGAAATACATTTCCATTAAGGATTCTAACATGACAATGTTATAGAAGGCAGTGTGTGTATCAGAGCAGGTGATACGGCTAAAGAGTCCCAAACAGCCCACTATGCAGCTTTCAGGGTTAGGGTGTTGTCTAGTGGGAATCAAGACCACATTTCTGCCACTTCATTTGTTTTCCATCAGACTGAGATGCAGGCAGACAAGGTGGGGGGGAGAGAGACAAAAAGCCTCAACACCTGCCAACGGTGACTATTAATGGCTAATGGGAAGGCAATGGCTCTGACTGCGAGGCTCGCAAACGGAACACCAAACAGCATGTAAATATTTGTTGACAGACACTCAGACAAAGGGTTGAGTGGTGGAGCGTTACTGTTCCATTGAGCTCTTTTAATTACCTGTGTGTGTGATTTAATCCGTCATATGTTTCATCCCATTCCTCTTAATGATGTACTCCACTGATTTCCTCATATTACCGCTTCAGTTAGGCTTATAGAGAATCCTCGCTAATGAAATACAAGAACAGGCCTGAGTTTAACAACGGCATATGAGGTGGATCTTCATCCAAAGGTGTTGATCAGAGGCGTTGCATTGTTAAAGCATCCTGCGGTGCAAATGTAATGCCTTATTCCCATTGTTTCATCTCTGTGTTCTCTACTTGTTTTAGCTTTGGGATGTGTGCAAGAAAAACCAGCCCCAGATCATATCAGTGTTCTGGCTAAAGAGGCGACATTGAGCTCGGAGCAAATACCAGACTGAATTTAGTGGAAAGAGCCGAGGGTGAATACATGAATTTGAATGACAGTGAGAAGGTTTCCCATATGTTTATTTTCAGCCACTTTGTCCACCTCCCAGACTGATTTGAATCTTGAAAAGATTTTATCCAGCTGAAACACTAGATCAAAGACCAATACAGAAAAAGCCTGAAATGCCAGAGTTTAATCAATAACATGAAATGAAATGAATAAAAAGGAAAAAAATCCTCTCTCTCTCCCCACAACCCCAGGAAACCAGAGGCTGCTGACCAAGAGCCAGACCAAGAAATCAGCAATGAAGGCTTTCTCAGGGCTCTTCAGGAAAGCAGGGGGCCCAGAAGGTAGATGCCACAATTATAAGTTCATCATTATGTTGATGAAAACATACATTTAGATTCACTTTAAAGGTTTATTCATTACAAATTTCAAATAATTTAGGTTATTCTATTATTTTAGAAGATTTACCAATGACAGAATTACAAATACTGTGGAAAATATTCATAGTCTGTGAATGATGTTATAGCTTGATGTTAAGGGTGTATAATTTTTTTGTAGTCAAAAGTCCTTTTTCAGGCAGCTGACCAACAGTGCACAGCAAACTCATAGCAATATAGCGGTGTATTACTTTAACCTCCTTAAAAGGCCCCAGTCACCACAACTTTACAGATTTTTATATCTAACTCTCATTTCATTTCTTACAGTACTATATTTCTGTTTCTAACATAAAGCTAAAATAAACCTTATCATTATACTGATTTACCTAAACTGTCCAGCAGAAAACTTGCAACATATGTGTCGGTTTTGAAGCTCAGCTCTCATATAAATTGTCTCCCGTTTGGTAAAAGTTGCGCTGAGGCTTTTTCTCGTTTATTAATTTGTTTTCTTGTTTTGGTTGATTCTCTTGCGTCTCACTGGACAAAGAGTACAGATGGTCCTCTATTGCTTGTTTTCAAGTCCTCTGGCACCAACAACACATCTTTACATCCAGGTCAAATGTATAAGGCCGACAACTTTGTCCCCTTTCAGCTACACTGATCAAAAATGGTGACACAAAATGGCATCTCCCATTAGATGCTCTACTCCTATCTATTAATAATCTACTAATTCCAAAATATGAAAACACTTTCATTTTCGATATGATTTCATTAGACATTCGTAGAAAACATTTTTATTAAAGCAAACTCTGATTTTTGCTAGTGAAATGCCAAATTTATTACGCACTATCCCTTTAAGGCTCTTGCTTAAGGAAGCAGAAGGATAGCCTGAGGTAACCAGGTTCTGGTGTCTCTCCAGGCCACAAATGCTCTCTAACCACTAACAAATCACTCCACTTTGTGCGATTCATAAGAAACATTTCGGGGTTAAACTTTCATTAATGGTTCATTTACAGAAAGGTGGCACATATAATAACTGGGGGAGTGGCGGCCTAGTGGTTAGGGCATAGATCTGGGACTCCACAGACTGCACTCTGCGTCCCTGAGAATTCATTTCATTGCTCTGTACTTGTGACAGTGGTAATAACAATAAAAGCTGGGAAAAAATAACATATAGACTTCAATAGTGTGCTGGTTGGTGTATGACAGCCTTAACAGCAATTGGGACCACAAACTGAATCTAAAGGTCAGGATGGCTTACTGCCCTAAGTAGAATTTTGTTGGTGGGCAGCATGCAGTGGCACAAAGCAACTAAAATGGTGTTTTTAGTATTCGATTTAAACTCTCTAATTAGATAATAAAATAACAGCCTTTTCAGTCTTTTTATTCACTCTGGAGTAATTCAGAATAATCAAATATAAATCAAATATTCTACTTTTAAGAGATGCCTAAAACCTGATCAGAAAACACAAAACATTACATTTGACATATCAAATTTGAACTAAATTTCTACTTATATATCTATTCAGTTTTTTTATAAACACGATGATCTCCCTCATTTTTACATCATAGGAGTTAGTAAAATGTCGGCTGAACAAATCAGTAGATCCAGGGTTAATAAATATGTACATGTGAAATTAAAAATGCATAAATAATAAAATTAGTAGGGGGTAGAAGAAAAAAGGGAGTCCATGTTTTAGATCAGATCAAATGTATCACTATAGAAAACTGCATCAGAAAATGACTTTTACATGAGCTCACTCTACATGTATATGTAGCTCAAGCAGGTACATTTTTGTCTTTAATGGATCTGTCATATTGTGTAATAAAAAGCTACTGGTTTTTGCAAAAGGGAGGTGATGGGAGCATAAGGGAGGGGCTTGCACAGGGTGCAATAAATGCTGGAACCTCCACTGGTTCTATGTTATCTTGTTTTTCTTTTGTGATCACCTTTGGAGAAGGAAATGTGCAGCTTTGGGAAAGGATGGGATAAACTTCTCTACAGAAAAAGAAAGATTTTGGTTTATATAATCAATGACGATTCCTATGCAACAACCCACAGTGGGATGTCAAACTTTTATGGAGTCACTGAATCAACCATGCAACCTGATTCCAGCCTGGAAAGTCTTCAGCTTTTTAGTCTATGATTCAGGATGTGGGGGGATTTGAGAGACTTGCAAGTATTGACTCATATATTCTTCGCACTTAATACTTTCTCTCTCTCTCAGTTAGTTTAATTTTGCCCATGCAAATCAAATATTTTTAGTATCCCTGGGGAATTTACAGGGTGCAGGTCAGATAGATGCGGTGGATTGTTTTGCTTTGGGGAAAAATCTGCGCGCTCAGCCGCACGCATTTCTAAATAACTAACATTTCCCAGCTTTTATAAAGATGCACACATGTGATTAGGTTTAGTATAATAAATAAGTTTTATTCATACAAAACCCCATAGATAAAGGCAGGATGTTTTTTGGCACAAAGTTGTCATCTTTCACCAGACGCGCTCCGCTTCTCCTCTCTGGACTTTACGCATGTGAATAAAAATCAAATAAAAACTTCCCAGCTTCGCTTCAGATCTGCATCAGTCTTACCTGTTGGCCCCTCGATGCCATCAGCGTAGATCTGGACACTTAAAATGAGCAGAAAGGCGCAGGTGTTCATCGCGTAGATGTTTTAGTCCACTTTACATGGAAAGAACAGGTCATTTCATTCACTCCGTCAGGTCCAGGAAGGCGGCAGAGAGCAAAGCAGAGCCCATCTATTTCCCTCAGTTTTGTTTCTTAACTGAGTTTCCGAGACACTGGAGTGAGACAGGGCAGAGCTACTTCTGCAAACTGACGTCAGGGTAAACAGTTGAGGAGAGAAATTTGCTTTCCCAAGCCCACTTTCGCTCCCTACACTTCAACTTTTCCATTCAAAGCATGAGTCGGGCGCCTCCAAGTGGCCGGCCACTGAAATGACAGCTTCCCATTAGATTGGGGGCTAAATAAATCTTATTTGGTTCTGCTTCATTCAGGGGTGGGATTAAAAAAAAATATTTGTCTTTTTCTTTGGGAGCATGACTCTGGTCATTTTAGTTCTCCACTACATTTCAGCACATTTCTAAAGTATTCATATGTTTCTTCACATTATGTCATGTCACAACCATAATCGTTGATTGTTTTGTGAAGTGGAAGAAATATCAGTTTTTGCTAATATAAATCTCTTTGCAACAAAGCCTACCTATTGCAGATATAGCCACAAAACTAAGGGTTCTTTTTTCTCCCACAGTCAAATTTAGATGCAAAGTGTCTGTGAAGATCCCGTAAGGTTAATTTAAGTCTAGACTTTGACTGGGCCATTTAGACTAATAGATATATGATTTCAAAAAAAGAAAAGGAAGAAAATAAGCGCCCTTCAGATTTGCAGGCAGGACCCGGTTTCTAGATACACATCGAGAAGAGTTGCTTCTTGAGATCATATTCAGAAATTACACAAATTAGATGAAAGTATCAACCTTACAGTAAATGAAGTTCAGCTTTATTTACCACGTATAAGAAAATGTGTCTTTATTTTGTAATGTTGGTTAATAGAAAAAAGAAAAAAAAAACAAGGCCCAGGAGATACTAAACACTAAACGAAAAAGCCCATTAAGATCATAGATATTGGTCAATTGAGAAACGTTATTGTAGTTGGCTCTGGATGCTCTAAATCTCCTTCCAGTTGGGAGTAGATTCACCAAATGGGATTGTATGTGTGTGTATGTGTGTGTGTGTGTGTGTGGGGGGGGGGGGGGTTGACCTGGGTCACCCACAATTTGGTGATGGTGGTGAGCTTTTTGTTTGTTTTGTTTGCACATATCTCCCAGCATTCTTTGCTTAGGACCAATTATCTCATTAGCCATGCTGCTATTCTGGACAGTCTGTTTCTATCTTCCACTTCTAAATCAATTGCAAAAGACCAACAAGCACCAGGTCATCTGCATACTTATACAAATAGCAATATGGATTCACAAGTAGCAGCTCGCTGGGAAGAATAACAAAAAAAAAAAGACCAACACAGTAGAGGTCACACCTCCTTGGGGAGCTCCTGTATTTACAATAAGCATATCGGAGGAGATGTATCTTACTCTTTGAGGTAATGTAAGGCTGCACAACATATTGTTAACATATCTTATTTGCTATATCAGTGTATTTAGAATAATTATTGGTTAATTTATAATCAAGCAATTTGCATTTAACATGGTAATGTAACATCTAGCCAGTTGGATAGAGTCCAGGGAGAGCATCTGTTGCAATAAAAGCTAAAGCTTACCGACTTTTAAAAACATACATGAAAAGAATGGAAAGAGGAATTTAGGTGTAAAGTATTTATCAGAAATTATATCATCATCATAATATTCACACACTATTTCTGTTGTGAGGTTTTCTAATATCCTGCACTTCCATAATAAAGCGGCTTCATGCAGTTAAAGATATGATCAAATTCAGCCCCTAAAAACAGGAATAAAGAAAAAAATACATGTTGCATTATCATTATACCCCTGCTTTTAGACTGAGAATAAATGACCATTGAGAGTATTTAGTTTTTCCAAAACTGAAGCCCCAATATGCATTTGGTAATGTTTAACATACAACACAAACCTCACAGTAGTACTCAATATAAGATCTAACAACACGCAGCAGAAATTTAGTGATCATTGGAGGTTCTATGTTTTATGTAGGAGTATCTGAATAAAGGGGCTTCAATACAATTGCATTCCATGTTTGTTGAGATTTTTAGTTGTAAAACCTTCAGTATGCTTGCACTCTCTGTTGGTAAACCACAAAAAGCCAATGAAGCTGTTCTGTCTCCAACTGTGGAAAATGTGAATCAGTGTGAATGCCTTAGACAGTAAAGGCCCGACATCTGAGATAAATTCAGATCAAATAAAGCAGAAAAGGTGGCTGAAATGTTCAGTTAGCAGTAACAGCAGGTTTCTATGTACTTGTGATTTCCGACAACTGCAGGACAGTGACGGCAAACAGCAGCATTTTTAAATGAACTACAGCTGGAGTCCTGCCTAAAATCTTCCCATTAGAATTATTTTCAATTAGACACCTTTCCCTGTAGAAATAGCAATGACAAACAATGTGTTTTTCATCATTTATATCACATTGATTTAATGATTATTAATTGTATAGTGACAGATTCATTTACATTTTCTCAATTTTTTTTTTTTTTTTTTTTGTAGAGATGTCAGACAAGTCATACCAGACTGGGTAGCAAAACATGTCCTGTCCTGTCATTTGGTTAATGCTGCAACCCTAACTTATAATAATAACAGCAAAACCCATGCTGTCTATTGCAGGATCATTACACCAAGGCTCTGGGTGACATTTTTAGCCATAAATATTAACATGTGGCTGACACCGAGGCATTTTGTACAATATTTCATAATGTCAGTCTTTATAATAACCTCATTATAATAACATGGATTAGGTTTTTTTTTTTTACCTTAACAGAGCTTGTTAAAAATTGTATACATTTAAATAATAAAAAATTTGTACTGAATATTGTAAAGTCCAAAAAGTCAAATTTTTTTTAATATCCTTTATTTATGTTTAGTTTACAGCCAGAATGAGTTTTATATTCTCTCAGATATGGCAAGTATACATACCTTTGCAACTTCCAATGACAGCTGCAAGGCATATTTCTCCATAAATTAGGAGGGTTGACATGTTGCGGGTATTAAATTTGCATTTGATGGGGTTACTTTTCTCCATCTCTACCAACAGCTGTTTGTGTTATTAAGTCCTTGAAATGTTGGACTGCAGAAATCACTTTTGGATCTAATGGAATGTGCACAAACCAAATGCAAACATATGGCACAAATGTAATAATTATTTCAAAGTGCGTGATCTGACACATCTTTGCAAGCTTGTCTGGTGTGTCATTGGCTTGTTGCGCAAATTGTGTATGAGAATGGACAGTGGTGTTGTGATGCATGTAATCAAGAAAATATAGTGCATTTGAGATTTTAACAAAGGTCTTCATATCAATATCAAGTTATCTGTTTTTTCTAGTAAATTAATAACTCATTTATTAGTATAACCTCTTCTATATTAACAATGAAAACAAAAGTGCTTGACAAATACAATAAATAACAAACACACACAAATAGAAAACAAAAACATAAAATTTGGTTAGAAACAAGGTAGATGAAATAATAACAAGTAAGGAGTAATAATAATCTGTGAACTTTGAACTTTGATTGGATAAGACCAAGTTCATGTATAGATGCAAAGCTAATTCCAAAGCTGTGGTACAACCACAAAAAAAGCTCAGTCAGCCCCAACGTTTTTACTTTTCCTTGAAACTGTGACCTTGTTTTTGATCTTGAAGTGTTTTGCATAAATAAAAGTCTCTAAATTGATTTTATTCAGTCAGAAAATGGAAATGATTTTTAAAAATGACCAATGATTAGTTTGATTTGAACTTGTTATAAGCAGAGAGTGAATTTGCTTTAATGGAATCTTAGTTGGAAACCTAAATATAAAACTATTTCTGCATGCAGAAAACTATCTAAAATCTTTTATTGGTTGTTTACAGTTTACATTATTTTCTGCAAAATAGTCTAAATAATGTTACAGAAAATAACAACAGAATTTTTTTTTTATTATTATTATTTGTCTATTTCTGATTGGATGATCAAGTCCCCATTAGGACTCTCTTCCCCACAGCTGATACAGATGCAGCTATTAGTTCATAACCTCAGAGTAAGAAATCCTATCCAGCCCATTCATACTTCGCTCTAATGTCCCTCTTGATTTCCAGTGATGATAGCTAATTATTGTTGTTTTGATCTAGGACTATATAAAGTTTCAGCAAAGTTTTTTTTTCCTTTTTCACTGACTTTGTTCTTTGTGTATGTCTCAGTTTCAAATGTGAAGTGAGTCAACCTTCAGACATACAACAAACTGAACCAGAACAAAGAGTCTTCCTGTCTGAGTGACCTTTCCAGCTGCGCAAACTGTTCTTGTGTCAAGATCTCCCCTTAAACTGAACTGAACTGAACACAACCCTGGTGTAATCAGGTGCTGAGACAAAAGCTTACTTTTGATAGAAGTTCAAACCTAAACGAGCTGGGATTATATTTCCATCCTAAATTCTTACTTAAATAATGATTTCATTTGTTAAGAGAGATTGTCTATTAAATAAACCTAATCCAAGTGAACCAAAACAACCATTGGTGTTTCATACGGAGGATGAATCCTGAATATTTGTAAATCAATGAAAGTGAAAGCCTGAAGTACTTCAAATGTTGTTCTACATCTTTTTATGGCCTCTTGATGAATTTTGGAAGAGCACCTTTGATCCATGACAGCTGATTAATTAAACGTCTATAACGTTTTTCTCAAATGATGTTGAATTTCTTTTCCTAGGCGCCTGATGTATTTATCTCTGAGATGTATTATCTTGCTATATCTAGCCAGATGGTTTCTATTTCAGTGACTTCTGGATTTAATAGGTCTATTAGAAATGAGAGCTGGGTGTGGCGAGTAAAACAAATAAAAAAAAATGGGATTAATGAAAAGTAAATGCAAATGTAACAAAATGGGCAATTGTCCAGGTTGGTTTTTGAACGCTTTCTGTTCTGTTCCCGTTAAATCTCTAAAATCCTGACTAAAAATGTTTGTTGATTTGAAACGTCTAAGTGACATGATAGCAAAATTAGTAAAAAACAAAATGTTAAGGGTAAAACATTTTCTCTAAGCTCTCCATGCTAACTTATTGCAAAAAACAAAATGACCATCAGAGCCACTTCTCCTTGGGATAACGCATTTAACTGTGACTCAGTTAAACTGGCTATACATCTTTTAATTAGCTGCAATGTGTGGACATTACAGCTGAAAATTAAATTAAAGGTGTTCACCATTAATTGACTCTAATATTGTAAGACCTGAATTAACAAACCATCGCACTCAGAGTAATTTGATTAATGGAAAGAGAACAACACAATGTCAAGTAAAAACCTGTTATTACACCTGCTTTACATGTGACAGACACGCATTTAAAGGACATTTATTAAAACAAAAGAAGTGTTTTGACCGGAATGCATTTTGCTGCAACGTATTTTAATGTGCAGTAATGTGATGTTGCAAAACACTGCTAAATTCAAACGGCAGGACAGGTGTCAGCAGAGATGCGCCGTGATGATAGTCATTTTATCAGACGCTTTATCGACTGCCACTCATAACCCCGGACAAACACCTACATCTGGACAGGCTGTGCCACATGCCAATGTGTAATAACATATCATCACAGTTCTGAGAGAAGTTGTCAATTTCAACACCATCAGTGTCTATCTCGCAGCCTGGGCATGCAGAGCTGCGCTGAACAAAAACAGGAAAACAGCACTGGAAAAAAAAAGGAGGGGGGGGTATAGTTATATGGAAAAAAGCGTCTCCTTAGGCAACATGACATCTGCGTTAGTAGGGTTAGTGGAGGTACAAATAAGGTGTAAATTATGGATCAGAAAGGGTAATTTATTTGAGCTAAATTACACTGTAGCTTATGTCTTAGGAGGGGGTGTATTTAAATCAGAGAAAAGAAGTGGAAGTGAAGTAAAGTCAAAGCTTTTAAAATAAAAAGAACAGTATAGTACAAATAAAATTGACCTGCATGTATTATTCATTGTTTACCTGCCTTTAGCTCTTTTGCTGTGTGGGCTGTCAATAAGTCCATCAGCATTTGCAACACTCATCAGCTGCCTGACGATAAAAGAATCAATAGCCGGAGGCGTGTGAAGTTAGCTCCTTAAAAAAACTCTAACACTACATTTGATTCCGATTCAAAATATGATCATTATCCGATGAGATCATTCTAGGTGTAATTGGTCTTTTTGAAAGCCAGTTTTTATCTTTATTTGGATTTTATTATTTTGTTATAACTAACAACTGGAAACTAAACACACACTAAAGCAGGGAGGTATAGACTACATGCAAAAGATGTGATAAAGCCTTTTCTTCAGGGAATCTCGGATGCACATTAACTGATTTGATCTAAAGTTCAAAATTATTTGTAAAGCGATAAATAACAACACAAGTGAATCCTTAAATTTTTACTTTAAAGTATGATTTATTTAAAAATTAAAAACCTATAAAATATGATTTATTCAATAGACATTAAAATAAATCAACCTCTATTATATTGTGAGTACCTGTATCTAATGTACATTTAAGTAATCAAAGAGTCATTAGGTAATGACATACTTGTATTATTTTGTAATTTATTTATGTTACCCATCAGTCTCAAAGATTAGTGTAAGAAGGGCTACCACTGTTTTAGTCAATATAACCTGTGTGGTAAAACCAATATTCAAACCCATGATTTCACTCTGCACGTACCACAAAGAATAAATGATGAAAATACACCCCATAGTTTGACAAAAATATTTAAAACAAGAAATCTTTGTTTAATTCATGTATTTAAAAAATATCCATCCATCCAAAAATATCTTTTCTTTTATTTTTATTATTTATTTACTTTTCATGTTATTTAATATTTAATTTATTGATTAAGTGGTACTTTTAGCCCTCAATAAACACCAAGTCAGTCTTTGGATTTAAGATTTCCTCCAATTCAAATAGTGCAAACATTTGCAGCAAATTTACAACACAAACAAAATTGGTTTTTAAATTACATATATAAAAAGTATACAGTGTTCTCTGTAAACTAACCATTTAGTAATATTTGGTTTATGACAAAAGAAGAGAAAAGAGTGGTAGTGTTACAACAGACAAGTAATATTTTTAGCAGTCTCAGTTAACTACTTGAAAACAGCATGGTACTCCCCACCCACCAACCAACCAAACACCTAATCCTTACAATAATAAATGTCCATTATAATGCTTAACATAGCTTTATTTCAAAACACTAATTGCATTTTCTTAGTGTCTTCTTTTTCTGGTAGACAACCCTCCGATTATGCTTCTGTTTTGGGATCCCCTTATAGATGGCTAATAAATAGGGTATAGAAAATTATGAATTAATGTATTATAGCTCATCAATGAGTGTATTATGCAATCACCATATGATGCGTGCCAAAAATTATGCTTAAAAATGGTATAAAAATAGTTTAGTCTGAAACAGTAAACCTAAGTACTTCTTAGTCATCTATAGGTGAAACGTTCTAAAATTGTTGTTTTTCTATCCTCAGAAAGCACAGCTGGTTAGCTGATTACACTCTTCCAAAACCCCCAGTTGGCCACCACTTATTCCGGCTAGGTTCTGTCACATGTTTCTTCCTGTTTATAGAGAATGGGTCTGCTCCATTGTCACCGACTTGCTTGCTAATGATAAGGGATTACTGCAAAATTGTGAACAGTGCAAAACAGGGAGTGCAATGCAACTAAAAGCACTATTTAACTTGTTACCAACAGTGCTTAAAATAATAAAGTGAATTAGTAGTACTGCATTACACTTTGGACTAAATAAGTCAATGTGAAAGGATCTTCAGTAGAATATAGGGTTAGATTCTTTGTATGTTTTATAGATCATTTAAGATTCACTGGACCCTAAGTTATTTGTCGAGTAAAATTACCGTAGTTGAAATTATGCTTGATGTGAATTCGAGCAAATAAAAATGAATAGACTTGAATGGAAAAACAATATATCAGGGTAAAAGCAATGCACATTATAGATCAGACAGCCAATACATTTTTATTACTTAATTTTTTAGCTGGGAAGGTTAGAACCTCCGGTAAGACACTCTTCTGGATATTTTTTAGGGAATTTTTAGACCTTCTGTGCAGACTGATTTGCATACCTACCATACATCTAAAGATGCTAACAGCCAGAATACCTCCTAATCAGGGAAGTTTGTTTCACATCATAAAAGCAGAGTGTGGAGTCTTTGCTGCAGCTCTTTATTCAGTCTCTTCATTTCCTCTCAGTAAGGGCTGCTAGAATCTACTTAAGCTTCTCAGTGTCATGTGAGCTTTTCGCCTCCTCATATCTAGTCAGACCATCTCAAACAAGAAGCTCCGTTTTCTGTTTCGTCCCTTTGTTCTTTCCAGAGGTATCTTTTTTCTTGTTGCCACTTTGGCTCACTCCGTCTGTCCTGCCGGCTCCAAGAAGGTGACTCTGGCCAGCGGGGGCAGAGAAATGGCTGCAGACCTGAGCGTGAGATGAAGCAGATAAGCCAGTAAAAGGAAGGGGATAGATCACTGTATTCGTCCTTTCATTCGACAGCAGGTTGTGCACGCATCTTTTCTGCTGGCTCTGACCGTGAGGTCGGAGGTGTTTCAAGGATGAAATTTTATAAGATCTTCTTTGATTGCAGCTCTGCTTCTGGTGTTCCTCTGAGACTTCTTCCAGCACTATATAAAACAAGATAACAGTTAGTACAATCCACTGGGGGCATCAATGTGTGAGCTGTGTATTGGATCTGGCAGCGTTCCCACCGTACACACCGTGATGGATGTTACTCTCTTGGTTCTGGGTGCACCTGAGGGCCAGAGCTTGTTTCACGGAGTCCAGAAGCCCAAACATTTCACACAGGGAGTTAAGTATAAGAGCATCTAACAAAACAAAACAGTAAGAAAAAATAATGAAGAGTAATCTTTTTTTTTATTGTACACAATCGTCTAAGATGAACAATTTATTCACCAATCAATTATTTTAACAATGATGAGCTAACTTTTTTTAAGCAGACCTTTCTATTCCTATAATGGCCTAAAAATTATAATGACTGCAAAATTATTCATCCCCACTGAACCTTTTTATTCTTTATTTTGTCATACTGGAATTGCAAATCTTTTTGTTTTTTTATTGGGATTTTTACGGGTAACAACATTTTGAAACCACATGAAAATGAAACATAGATTTCCAGTGTTTGCTTTATGCTGCAATTACAGCTGCAGGTCTGTCTGGCTGAAGATTTTTTTCATAGTCAGACTGGAACAAAAAGGAAGCAAGAACAATAGTTTTTCCAGCCACAGATTGAAAATTGTCTTGATACTGGACTTTAATTAGGCCAATCCAGTTAAAACTGTTAAACTAAATCTTTATTGTAGCTTCTAGTCATTAAGTTTACCATCATTATTCTGATTAAAGATGAACCTCTGCTTCTCTAAAATGTTTTCCTGTTCTTTTACCTCTATCAGTCTTCTCATCATTTATAACCGTCTTCTCTGTCCCCCCACATAAAAGCATCTCCGACAGCATAATCCTGCCACCATCTTTCATTGTGGGGCATTTGGGAAGTTCTTAAAGTTGATGCGGAGATATAGTTTATTGACAAACATAAAAAAGTAACAGTTCAGTTTCTTTATTCAACTACAGCATCTCTTTCCACATGTTAACCATTTTCCTACAACGCTAACAGAGCTTCTCGTGGCTTTCCATTAACAATGGTTTTCTTCTTGCCTTGCCACCGATCCAGAGTTTTAAACCTTCAACAAGAGAATCTTCTACCAGAGCTCTAAACCTCTGAAACCGATCCATTCGGACCGAGTTTGGATCAGTTAACCGTGCCAAGCTCAGTTCCTCACCTTCAGTACAACTTAATTCAACACTACAGGTCAAAATGCTGCAATTCATAATAATGTTTTTTTTAATAATTGAACTTTATTGATCTCACATTGGAGAAATTTACCTCTGCATTTAACGCATCCCCTTTGAGAGCACTGGGCTGCCATTGTGCGGTGCCCAGGGAGAAGTGTGGGGTTAAGAGTCTTGCTCAAAGTCCCAGAGTTGCAGGCTGTGGGAGTGGGGCTTAAACTCAGAGCCTCGGGATTCCAAGCCCTAACCACTAGGCCAGTACTACCCAATCCAAGAAAATCTACTAACATGCTTGCAGATCGATTCATAACCACGCAGACTACTCCTCTTTTTACATTTAGAAGACAAACAGTGTGCACACACAAATATGCTAAGCTTATTTTTACATAACTGAAATAATTTAATTTATTATAGTTGATTTTGAATTCTTACCTTTAATGCTTATTAGATTGTTGGCTGGAATATTGAACATCTGAATGCTAAACTTTTACTCAGATGAACTATAATACAATCCATTGTGATTTGTGATCAGTACACGGTGGAATGAAACCTCCCCAATAACTGCTGGAGAGGATGAAATGTTGCTGATGTCCATTGATTCCGTATTAATCCAGTTCACACATTCATCAACCTTGACAGGAGCGGCAGGCCCATGCGATTAAAGGACTTGTGAAAAAGCTTTTTCAACTGTTGCACTGGATATAGGGAGGGTGAGGAGTTTAAATACACCAAGCACAAAATCCTGAAAGCAGTGGTTTCCTCCAGCATCTATAAAAGATTCATCTTCCAACAGAACGCATCGATAATCAGCGAGAGGTTTATCACACCAGATCCACCTGATGCTAAAACTAGCACAATTAGTGGCACCGCCGCACAAGTTCTTTGTTGTAAACACTGTTGCAGATGATATTAGCTAATCAGTGATGGAGAAAGGTCAGGGAGGCTTTTCTATGAACCAGTAATGATGAATGACTGGTGGACAGTCTGGTGGAAACTCAAAAACCGCCAATCTGACTCTGAATCAGCCCAAATTATCTCCATCCGCCCAAAGCAATTTTTACCCTCAAAATCAAAATGAAAGCCGCCCCATCTGGCAACACTGGCGCCAAGCCCTACTGTTGAACTAGTACTAGATTTAGTGCGGTTCGGTTGTGTCCATTTACACTCAACAGTTATCTTGGTTACCGTATTCACACCGCTCTCGGCACGGTTTCAAAATGGTAGTGTAAATGGGGTATATGTCTCCACAGCTCCTCCAGAGTTACCATCAGCTTCTTGCCTCTGATGCTCTACTTGTCTGTATGAGCGGACCCTTATGTCTGATTATGTTTGGGGCTGGGCTTTGATGGATGGTGACGGATGATTAGTGTCCAATAAAGCGTTAAAAGCTTAATACATTGTTTTTAACCTACCCTTGCTCCCATTTTTTTCTACAGCCTTGCCTTTGACTTATTCAATTCAATTTCAATTCACTTTATTTATATAGCACCAATTCACAACACATGTCATCTCAAGGCACTTTACAGTTCAACCAGATCATACAGTCAAATTGATTCAAAGTTTTCTATCACTTATCTGCTGTGTTTTCTATGTAGATACAATGTGACAAAAATTTTATATATTAATCTTTTCACACTCTTGAGGAACTTACCTGTCTCCTGCAGGCTATCCTTCTCACTGCGAAGCTCCACACCTTTAAGAGCGGTCACCAGTTTGGAGTAGAGACCAGACAGTACGTCGCCAATCAGCCCAGATTCTGCTACGCCTCGCCAAAGACTCATCACTTCGTCTAGAGAGGATCAGTTACAGGATGTATATGAGAGTTTTGTTGGTTTTTTTTCTCCATTAGAAGGTTTAAAAGTGGGAACAGAGAGATGAGATAAAGCCATAAATGCACCGGAATAGATTTGATATAGATGAGGATATGAATTCCAGTGTGGGTTGCCAAAAAACAACTGTAAAGAAATATGGTAAAGATTAATGTTATCTGTGAAAAATATGCTGTGAAGGAGAAAGAAGGGGACATCTGGGTCTGAGATTTCAAGTAAAAACATATGAAAAGATAGAGCTTGATGTCATAGATGGATGAAACCATTTAAAAAGAAGTGGAGGAGAGAGGCTGTTAGATAGGCGACAGATGTTAAGAGGAAAGAGGAGGAAATGGGTTAGGATAGAGAAGCTCTGGGAAGACAGAAAGGAGGGCAGGACGGATTTGAAGGGGAATGAAATATAACTTGAATTTGGCACAAAACTGATACAACCAGGAGATACGTTGAAGAGAAGAGGTGCAAAGCATGTGAGATGTGTTATCTAAGAGGAAATGAATGTATGCCCACTGATGTTTGCTTAAACTTCTGTCACGGTGGTAAAATATTTGAAAGTGTTCCAGTTCCCATTTACATTTCTAAGTTTGTTTAATTTATTTCTTCATGAGGGGAATATAAACTAGAGTGAAGCACATTTCAGGAGATTTGAAGAAGAGAGCAAGAGGCTGATTAGCTTGCTGAGAGTTATCTACTTGAAACTCAGTGACAAGCAAGACTGCATCTAGAGCGAGGTGCTTCAACCTGCCTTTCAGGGCATCATCATCATGGTCGTTGTCGGGTTGTTTTACTGACTTAGCTCCACCTGGAACAGTGCCTCATTAGGTCACCTTTAAAAGTCTTTCAATCAAAGCTGCTGCTATCGCAAGTAAAAAGGCCAGAGCTGGAAATGTCAGCTGCTGTTGGCGGCTTTATAAATGGACATGACTGTTTCCCTGACTGTGGTCAGCAACTTTTTAAGGGCAAGTCGTCAGAATCGTCCCACAACTGCCGATTCAGAGGTTCGCTGGCTGGCTGGGTTAGGGAGGTCAAACCTTTTGTGGTTGCCCGAAGCTAGACCAGAGCAATCGGTAGACAAAAGTTTTGTCAATCTTTATAACTAGTTGTCCTGTAACAGATCTCTTTTCTTGAAAAATTATCTTTTTGGAATAGTGGGGAAAAAAACTTCATTTTTACAAAATTAGAAATAAGGCACCTTCCAGAATTATTGGTCAAATTTGCATAAAAGCCTTTAAATGATGTTTTTTATAAACACTTGATCATCACAGGATGCTGCTACAGTTCTCTAATAGTGATCAAAATGAAGTGATGGCCTAGTGGGTTAGAGCAGTGCGCTTGTGCTCTGAGAAGATTGCAAGTACCCGGTTTGATCCCCACAGCCTCCACTCTGGGTCCCTGAGCAAGACCCTTAACCCCACACTGCTCCCCAGGCGCCCCATGATCGCAGGCCACTGCTCCCCAAGGGGATGGATTAAATGCAGAGGTAAATGTCTGCAGTGTGAGATAAATAAAGTTAAATTATTATTATTATTGTCAGATTAAACCTGGACTTGAACTAGGCCACCCAAACTGTTTAATGCTGTACAGAAGTGGACTTGCTGTTGTGTTTTGGATCATTGTACTCTGTTATAATCCAAGTGCACCTTAGCTTAAGATCTGAGATGCACTGCTTGCTGGACTTTCTCCTTTCCTAGTGGAAGCAGAATGATTCAACCAATAATGCAAAGTCGTCTGGGTCACTGAGCACGGCCTACACCATATTCAACTCCTGATCCGATTATATGCTTTTTCTGAAATGCTGTATAAGCTTTATACAACAGTTTAACAGCATTCACATTCTATAAACAGTTCAACATTTGTCTCATCAGTCCTATTTTCTGAATGGTCTTAAGGATTATCAAGGACTTTCTGTTTTGCTTTGCTTTTTTAGCAAATCTGTGACTTGCTCAGAAGTGAGTTGGGACCTGAAATGCTCCCATAGCTCCCATTACCCTGCTCCTTGTTTTAATGTTAAACAATAAACGGTGCATTCCGCTGAGGCAGGTAAGGCCTGTAGTGAATTAGATGTTTTTTTAGGTTGTTATGTGACCTCTAGGAGTGATTTGGTATAAGTTAATTGCTCCGAGGAATTTTAAGCATGATGCGTCTTGTCTCTATTTGGGGATAATGTTTCTCACTGTGGGTTGTTTAGATCCTAAAAACATAAGAAACCAAAACTTTTTAATAATAAACCTCACTGACTTTTTCTCATCTCTTTCTAACTTCTTCCAGCTATGGCAGCTTGTGTTGCTCTCTGATAACTTGGATCCTGCTTCATGTTTTCAGACAGGTTCAATTTCAATGATTTTCTGAATAAAATTAACCTCCCAAAGATAGTGTCAATTACCTTTTAAATTATGCATGTTTTTCGTTATATTTTATCAGTAGAAGTAATGATAACACCTATAATCTGCACCAAAATACACTGAACCAGAGAATAAAAAGAGCATATGGCGTTATTGAGGCCAGCAGGTGAAAACCAAGGGACTAAATGAACATAAACATTGGATTAACACACATAATTTAATCTTTTATTTACAGAGTTTGTCAGTCCTCTTCATCTTAGAAGGATCCCCATTGATTTCTGTTGAGCTTACATGTTGTGTTGAACCATTTCTTTGCTTTGTTGCTGCAATAAACATTTTCTCCAAATTCTCCTCTACAATATCTGCATCACCCGTTTCTCCTTAAATGGGAACATGGGATATATATCTAGTTATTATAGATCTACATATATCATGTTTATGCAGAATTAATTTTTTTTTTGCCTTAAAAAACCTTTAAAGGTTTCAAACTTTTTTGCATAATTTTTCAAACCTTTAGCAGTAGGTTAAGCATATGTGGCTGCTATAAAAACTGCAAACTTTAAATGCCAACTGTAATCTACCTGTCACAGCAGGCAGCTGTCCTCCAACAGGCTCGAGAGCCGAACACAACAAGCTCGGTTCCACCAAGGTCCCTGGAGAGGGCCGCGTGCTGTTCATCAGCACATCAAACTTGGTGCTGCGGCAGGTGTTGCTGCACATGGACTTATGCTGGTAGAAATCTATCTGGCCAGAGTCCATCATTTTCCTGCAAACGGAAAACAGGCGGGTTACAAAAATATGTTTGAGAAAACACATTTTTTTAGCTTTTCCAGTTGCATGAGGGACTTTTGGTCTCACTATTTTGTTTGATGCAAAAGCTTGTCGGTCAGGTCTCTGGGGGAATGAAGATGAAAAGAGCTGATACCGCCTGTTGGGTTTTACGTGTTGCCTCCCAGCAACACCAACAGCAAGTGCAAACACGATAAAAAGGTGAGAAGTGCCGCTTGAAGGCTTATATGTTAGCCATTTGATCCTGCTATCATCACACTTCTGATTACCCACCACCCCTGGAATGTAGATAGACACTGAGACAGAGACGTGCAGATGGATCTTACATAAAAAGATCCTGTAGTGCTTTCTGACGACCTGAATGGTGAACTTATTCAAACCTCTTTGAAATTCTTTACATTGTGTCTCAATTCAACCACAGACTTGTTGGGTTTTTATGTGATAAAGCTACACAAAGTAGCAAGGATATGTTTAATGTTAATTAAATATCGTTTGTAATTAAAAACTATGTAACTGACAAAGTGATCCTGTGGGTGTGTGTGTGTGTATATAACTCCTAAAGTCAATACTGTGTGGGAATATTGTCTTATCAGTCGCTTTCCCTAGATTTAAAGCCATAAATTCACTAAATGATGCTCTAGATAGGGGCGTGTAGTGAAGAAATATAAATACATAATCAATTCCTTATGAATATGCTTTTATGTTTTTCTTTTCTTTTAAAGGTCATAGCTACAACTTTTTCATCAAAACAATCAATAAAAAAATAAATCCACAGAGAGACTGTAAAAAAGAAGAAATGTAAAAATATATATATATATGTATTTTATACATGTATCCATCAGTTAACTTAAAAGTTTGCTAACTAACAGGGTAGCATCGCCACCTGGAGGAATTAAATTTGTGGCTATCTCCTTTAAGGATGATTTAAAATTAAGGTGTTGCACTTCAGTTATTTTAGGATTAGGTAACAGTTTTTTCTCTTTCGCCCCCTTCAAATATTAAAGAACTGGCTATTATCCTGATGTTTGCGTTTCATTCTTTTATTTTGTGTCCCTATGATAAACCTCCGGCCCCATCCTGGCCTTCCTGTTAAATTTGGTCTAGAACCACACATTGCAAAATAGCCCAGTTTGAGTTCAGACTGGTTGGAAACTGAAAAAAGAAATTCACATTACAAACTTTTACTTGCATTTAGGACTAAACTTGACTAGACTATTTCATATAATGAATATTCTTTGATATAAACTATTGCATCCTAGCTTTGGCTTTTTAGTGTCATTGTCCTGCTGGAAAGTGAACCTCTGTACCATTCTTACATTTTTTCGTAGCCTCTTAGCTAATGTAAACCAGCTTCCCTTTCCATACGGAAGCAAAACGTTCCCACAGCTTGATGTTGCCGTCTGCATGTGTCAAAGTGGGAATGTCGCCATACCAAGGCCAGATTTGTGGAGTTTAAACCTAATAGTTGTCCTGGGATCAAATTACACTCAAACCGATCAGTTACTAACTCACTTTTGAAGGCAACCAATTGAAACAGATTTTATTGAAGGGTGTCAGAGTAAAATGGGGGCTAAATATACAATATACAACAAAATCCTTTAGATTTACTCCTATTGCTTTTGCTAGTCTATAATAGTAAAGATTAAAAGAACACATTTAGAAAGTAGGGGTGTGAATACTTTTAAAAGCATTACACAAGACACTGATGTGCATTTAACTATTAAACATGGCAGTCACCACAAGAAGGACAAAATAATGAGGTTAAGAGGAAGACAGATGTTTCTTTAATGTTTCATAAGCTTACCTGAGCATAACCCCTCCCACTCTGATGGCTCTCTTCCAATCCTTCAGAGTGGCTTTTCCTGCCAAGTCTACAAATTGCTTGGGACTAATGAGTTGGTCATTGAACTGTAAAAAGCAAGAGCGAGCAATTTATGCCATGTAAACAGTAAAACAGGCTGTTAACCCATGTAGTGATTATCTCACCAGAATAATTTATGGTTAAACCAACCATACAAGAAATATAAAACTTAACACATCACCACAAATGTGTTAGGATACACCCTGAAAATAAACAGACTAAAGGTGAGAAGAGCAAATAGAAGTATAGGATCCCTGTAAACGGAGGATACTTATTCATCCGTTTTGTTTTGTGAAAAAAAAAAAAAGCAAAATCACAGATTCGACACACATGAGCCATCTGAACATTGGCTGAACAAAAGTTCTTTAAAAAATTTGAACTGAAGAAAATCTTCAATGAAAAAATATTTCCAAACACAACATCCTTCAGCTGGAACAATAGGGAAAAATGTCTACAAATCTTTTAAAGTGGGAATTTAACCAAGTGTGCTGGAAGCCTAAAAGCTGGCAGAGGTACAAACTGAAAAGGGTTAGTAAGAAAAAAAAGGTGGACTAAAGTTCAAAACACAAAGAGACAGGGAACCGAGAGCCATATGGCTTGAAAATTGAAAAATAATGAAGTTGGAGAAAATTGGATATAGAAAAAGAAAAGTCAAGCCTTGAAGATTTCTGTTACAAACACAGAGGAAATCGAAAAAGAAACAGCAAAAGTTTGATGTCTGTATAAAAGTAGTATTTCGTAATAAATAATATTATAATTA